TTACACCATACCTACATTAACATATAATCTTCATGATAAGTGACAAAAACATATAAAAACAAACACCTAATCTTTCATGTGGCTTGAATTTAATATCTAAAAAGAGCCAATTGATATGGGTTAATTACTTTTCAGCAAGATCCTTATACTTGTTTGCATCAACATTGGTAATAGCTACATCTTCCAAACCAGAAAAATCAAATTAATGAAAAAAAACATATTAAAAACCTCTAAAATCAGAGATATAGGGAAGTTGTTGGTCTTTCCCAAATATGTTTTGCTAGCATATGAAAATACCATCATCCTCTACTAAAAAGGATCAGTTGGGTTACTTGTAAAATAGGTATAAAACATTGTTGATCTTCCCAAAATAAGATTCACATAAAAATATTTATACAAAACGGAGATACTTTGACATTGACACTTGACATCCAACATCTTTTCGTAGAAAGCAACTAAGTGACATCAACCGAAGCCTGTCACGAGGTATAACCAAAATAATCTACCCTTCGCGAACGTTTAGGAAAAGAAACAAAGGAGGGTGTAGAAATATCACGAACCTCAGAAGAAATGACACCACTTCTATGATTATAACTTATATTCATAAACAACACCGAACATACAAACCTCAAAACAACACATAGCAAGAATATAAGTATCAAACATTAAAAGCACATCTATCGAGGATAGATAGAGGAACATAGAAACCGACAAATGGGAAAAATAAAACACAAAACAACCAAACCCAAAAGAAAATATGAGGAAAACATCATAAGACACATCAAAAAGATACAAAACAAAGAACCAAAACAACTAACCTTAAAAAACTAAATACAATAATCATAAAAAGCAGACATAGAATAGTAAGGAACAACAAAGCAGAACAGAATAAACAGTGATGAAGGAGGAAACAAACCTGATAGAAATGATAAAAAGATAGAATAGAAGATACATCAGAGAAGTGGAGTAGAAGATACATGAGAACGTTGGAGAAGGCCATAACACGTTACGGTTACACACATTATTATGCGTTTAAAGAACATAGTGGATAGAAGGATCAAAATCGATAGAAAGAACTTTACCTTCCAGTAAAGTCTTCGTCTACAACATCAGCATGTAGGGAGCACCGACCGATGAAAGCACAAAAGTGCCTGTTAAGAATCAAAGATAAAAAAATATGAGATGAAACCACAAAACCGCCTCTTGAGAATCGAAGATAAAAAAACTGGATAGGAAAATTTTTGTAAGATAGCAACCTGAAATGACAAACTGAAGAAACAGGCAGAACATAGAAGGAAATTCTCTGTGCCTACTGGTTCATATACTTGGGGATGGGAAATCGATTATCGATTGGGACATGAAGCCTACGAAAGGAAGACATCGTCTATGGTGGGGTGAAATAGATGGTCAGGTGATAATCTATAGTTGAGAGCGGCAGTAAGCAGTGGTAGCGACCATCGAAGCAGATGCAAAGGAAGTTTTAAGTCGCTGGAGAGATGAGGCTATGGATGAAGATTTATCCGGATGAAAAAGGAAAAGCCAATGGAAATCCTAGAACGAAATCGAGGCCCTTACCCAAGTTGAGGATTATACATGTAGCTAAGGCGGTGGAAATGAGGTAAGCCTCATAGTAAATTTTTTTTTTGAACCAATAAGAACCATTTACTGTTCCTAATGGAACAGCAAATTGATATATATATATATATATATATATATATATATATATATATATATATATATATATATATATTGAAATTACATGTCCACATGGTCCAAAAAATATAAATTTCATAGAAATCTGACTTTGTATGAATTGGTTATGAATTTTATAAGATATAAAAATCAACTGCGCACACAAAATTTCAATGTCAAAAAGCTACGAAGAGAGTAATTTAATTTTTGCTAAAGTCACCAAAAGGAGAATCATTGTATTCCCCGAGATAAGAATTTTGAGAAAAGGAATGCAAAAATCGGAGTCTGTATGAAAGAGACATGATTTTTGAAAAATCACTAAATCATATAAAAATAAGGGCTAAAACTAAAGCCAAAATTAGTGAAGTAGCGATTTAATCGAGTATGAACCTAATCAGAGTAATCAAAGTAGTATGAACATGGAGAGTAAATAAGATCTTGTTTATAGCTCACTTATATTTTCGAATACAGAGAGAATATTAGACAGAATGACTTGGAAAAGTTATATCTACCTCTCAGTACAACTCCTATTTATAGGAGAATAAGAAAGTATACAAAAAATACTAAGGGATAGACATCAAGACTTCGAATCTAATATGCCTTAGTAAATAGATAACATGACTTTTGGAACTGACTCAAATAACTTCGACACATTACAACATATTTAACACTAACATTCTCCTCCTTTGTAATCAGTGTCGAACTCAGTTTGTGAGAATTTGAGCAGCCACATGCATTGATCTTCGAACCTCAGTATACCAGCTCATAACCTTCTTCAGCTCATCCTTATCTCCTTCGTTGTTTTTCTTACAATTATTCATACAAAAAATAATGTTCGTATATTGAGCAGTTGTATACCGTTCGACTTCCGAAGCTTGAAATAAAAACCTCTTAGCTTTTCCTTTCTTGTATTTTCCCGAAAAAACTAATCCCATTGGTTTAAACAAATTTCCCCATCAGCAAACTTCTTCAGTTCTTCTTGACTCTTCACAGTTTCTTGATCAACTTTTACTTCCTTTCCCAGTGCCATACATAGCTCAATATCAGTTAAGGCTACACAATCATAGTAATTATCTATAAAGATTTTTATGTGACCTAGACCAAGTCTCAAAATCTCTTTGCCTGTCCCTTGAAGTTTCGAAGTGTCCATATCTTTGAGAATCAATGCAACTTGAATAAGGTCATTCAAGTTCATCAATGGAAAGTTAGCAACTGAAAAATCACAAACCAAATTGTTTGCCCTTACAACATGAAATTGAAAATTCTGAATCATGTTTTCAAACAACACATCCTTAGCCACGCTTATCACATGCACAATGTTGATAAGGGACCAAACCTCCTCCTGATCCTTTCCCAACACAGCATGAAACCTCAACTTCATATGAAGAAAGTCCTCTTCATTCTCGAATTTCTCAATAATTTTGTATTGAGCTGTGATGAACATCATTTCATTGATTGGGAAATCAAGTTGATTCATATCTGTGTTCTCTATTGCATAACTCTTTCTTGGCTTCTTCTCGAATTCATACATTTCATTATATGACACTCTTGCTTCAATATTTTCATAGCTATGAAGTTTCTTTGGATCACCATTATCCATTGTAGGAGGATCATTTTTACGAAGCCTCATGATGCTTTGAATTTGGCGTTGCTTCTCCAATTCCGCCTCTATCTCAGCTTTTCTTTCATCTTTCGATTTGTCAATCATTATCTCTTTTCCTTTTCCCTTGTCAGCTTCTGAAGACTTAGATTTTGAAGAACTTCCTTCACCAGTAGAATCAATTACAATGCCTTTAGCAATTGGCCTTGTAGTAAATGTAGTTTCCATTGTTGGTTCAACCTTCGAAAATTTTGGTTTTGCTATAGGAATTTGATCTTTGAAAATCTTTCCAACAACATTTATTTCTTCATTCGATTTCGCTGTTTCTCCTTTACCAACATCTTTCATTTCTCCCCCTTGCACCCCTGTAACAACAGGCGGGGCATTCTTTGGTAAGAGATTGATAAATTGAGACAATGGAGCCAACACTTTGTGAACTTGAGCCTCGAATAAACGAAACTTCTGAGCTAAAAACTCAGGAGTTATGATAGATGATGAGCCAGACTTCGAAATAAGCTCCTTCAATTCAACAATCATGGTATCAAGTTTACCAAAACTAGTAACATCAGCAGTTACTTTCTCATCAAACTTGGGAATGAAAGATTGATGTGTTTGCACAAACGTAGTAATAGCAGCAACAATAATATCGACTTTCTCAAGAATAGAAGAATACTTTTTATCCAACGCACTGAGCTCTGTAGAGACACTCACTTTCATCTCTTTAAGCATTTGATTCACATTTTCACGAACTGTTATGACATCTTGCACAAAAAGAACATGACGTTCCTTAGCAATACGTTTCAAGTCCTTGAGCGCATCATTAAAAGTTGAAGACGTAGACTTCACTCTTAACTCATTATTTTTTTCTAAACCATCAACCCTGTCTTGAATTCGAGATTCTGATTCTTGAATCAACACATTCAATTTATTCAGAAGACGAAGCTCTTGTGCTTTGACCATAACATCAACTTGAATACCAGAAACATAATTCCTACCCCTTGCATCTGCTTGTGATTGCAACAAAGAGTTAAGTTTTCTAGTTGAGAATTTTGAACTGTTTCCCCGACATAAGCATATGGTCAGGTATGTTTTCTTCTTCAGGATCAAATTCTAAGTCAGCAAATGATCCTCCAAACCCTCCATCATCAGTATCATCATCATTGATTGGTTTGGGTGGCTTAGTGGATTGAGACGAAAATAGAGAAGTGATGGGTTGATTTATGACGAAATCAAACGTAGTTGAATGTGTGGTGGTGGGAACTGTGGTGACAAATGGTGGTAAAGAAGTATTGGTAGTGATGACTGAGGTTTCGAAAATACCTTGAGTAGAAACTGGGTTTTCATTGTATGAGACTCCTTCACCCATATTGATATTTACATCCGTATTAGATACGTGTTTAAAAATGTCTGAGGTTCGAACCTCCTCATTAGATGACTTGGTTAACGAATCCTCGGGTGGTGTGATCAAAATCTGCTCAGGAGTTGATACTTTTGTTGAGTCACCAAGAATAGTAGTTGTGTCCACTATAGAAGTTTCCACAGGGCTACTTGAAATTACTATCTCCTCGATATTCGATTTGATAGGAGATTTCTTCTTGGATGAAACATCACCCAAAGGTGTTTCAGGAGCTTCATCCTCTTCCATAGAATCTTCCCGAATAATCAACTTTCTCTTCTTCGAAATGTGCTTAGCAACATCCTCAGCCCGTCACTTCTTGGAGGATGGAGAAACAGGAATAGGAACATCACGAAGAACAAGACCTTTCCGTGTAACATGTGTATTTCGAACCATAGAAGGAGAAAAACTAGAAGATCTTTTAGGAGACTTTCGTGATCTATGAGCTTTCTTTTTAAGACGCTTGAATACCCCAATTTTCAAAGGAACAATTTCCTTTGAAAATTCATCAGTTTCAGGCTCAACATGTTTCTCTGACTTTTTTGAAACTTTAATCACTACTCCAGCCTTTTTCTTGGGTGATTGATCAACTTTTTCTTCAGGAACAGCAGCAGCTGTCTTTTGTTTTCGAGATTTCTTCGAAGAATCTTCATCACGTTTTGCCAACAACACACCAGTACCGTCATTTGTATTTATAGTGAGAAAATAAGCCTCCAACACTGGATTCGAAGGATCAACCTTCTTGAGCATCCCATCCGAAATCCTAGCAACTGTAGGAAAAATACTCACATCATCTTCAATCGTCTTTGGATAATGATACTTCAAGAATTCTGCTTTAGGCTCATCAGCAGGCACCAAAATACTTTCCTTTTCATAAGCATATTGAAGAATTAGACTCCAATACCTTGCACATGAAACCCCATCTACTGCATTCGTGTTTTCAATACTCTTCAAAAATTCTTTCCACATATGAGTCGCATAGTCAACAGGCAGATCATAGTAAATGCCTGCGACCATAGCATACACCTCCATGTGTGCTTTGTCCAAACCAACACTCCGACCTGTGAGGCATCGAAGGTAAATCCCAAAAAGAAAATTCCATAAACTTGGAAGACTGGACTTCTTGAATTCGCTTATCTTGGTTAGAGTAGGTTGATAACCCATCTCATTGAACATGTGTAACACTTGTTCATTAGTGACTTTGTAGAAAGGTTGAGAATTAGGGATTTCAAGGATCTTGACAAACAACTTCTTGGTAAGACGAAACTTCTTATGATTGATCAAATTGAATGTCACAATATCCTACGTCTTGCTGTATGAAGCAGTAGAACCATCCATGGACAACCAAGTCATTGGTACTTCAAACGAACTGAACATCGCAGTCGCTAAAACAGAATGTTTCAAAGCAACGATCAGCATCTTGAGTTCTTCATGGTACACAGTAACATCACCATCCACTTGATAATTGGTACTCTGGATCTTCATGATGGGTTAAGAAGATGCGTCGTCAGTAGTGTTGGATTGAATAGCGGCCATGATTAGGGTTTGTTTGAAATCTTTGAAGAACAGAGAGATAAAAAGAGCACTGATCGTCTTTGACTAATTTTGGAATGTGTAAAGTTGGAATGAATACCCCATTGCCCCTTTTATATGTATCCCTAATTTGAATTTCAAACGGTTACCATCAATAAGCATAACACGTGTCCCTTGAAAATCATACCACTAGCTGTAATACACGCCATATCAGATAAAGTGATGAGAACAGTTTCCGAGAAATGTGCATAGTTACAAACCCGTCACTTCAAATGTCTTATCATCTGTACTGATGGATAAGAACAAAACGTTCAGAATAGAGGTTGGGCTCTTTCGCTTTTGGGTTTAAAACGAAGTCATATGCCAGAATTTCGAAATCATCAGCCTGAGTTGGTAATACTCAGAACCTCAAGGATTTTGTGAGTGCAGTGTGCCAAAGAAAAAGATAAGAAGCAAAATAAACAAAATTTTGGATTCTGTGATGTCGAAAATAAAATTTCGACATAAAGGCAGATAAATCCCGGGCAAAGATTACTTCGCTAATCCTCAAGAGAGATGATCAAAAGCTTGTGTGGTTTCCCGTGAATTACAATCGAATACTTATTGAGAAGTATCAAAGGGCTTCTTTTAGTTTGGCTTCAAGGGTGGTTTAAAATTTCGTTACAAAGCTTACTCAACATAAGTATGACAAGTTGTAAACAAAACTACCTGTTTAACCAGTGTAGTCAGTGACAAGTAAGCTTTGAAAAGTTTATTAAGTAATTAAGATTGAGAAAGATACTCAAACGGAAATCATATTCTTGAAACCAAAATGAGACCTAAATCTTGTTGGGAAACAAAGGTCGTGGGTTTCGAACATTTGATCAAGATTACTACTCAAGAAAAGAGAATGATTTTGAGTATCGAATATAGGTACTGAAACAAATGTTTCGTCATTTCTGGAACAAAGTTCCCCGTCAATTCCTTCTTAATTTCGAAAAGTTGGGGTTCACTTTCATCACGGCCTCATGAATCTAGATCATAAACATAGATTTTTGATATGTCTAAATCCTGATTAGTTTATACCAGATATCTCTTGGACATATGTCTTTGTGTGTGATTGTGTAAGAAATTTAGGAGTAAAAAGATGGATTTTTCAAAACGATTGTACCTCTGCTATGTTTGGACCAAACAGTAAACTCTTAACTCAGTTGAAAGAGTAAGGTAGCTCAGGGACTAATGTGAAGATATCCTGATTGGGAAGAAATTTTCGTGATGAAAAATTCATTAAGGCTTCGAAAACACACATTGAGTCAAAAGAGGCTTAGGACAACATGCTGCAGCATGCTTCCAGGGACAACCTCACTAGTGCAAAATTGTTCAAAAAAATACGTGACCCTAGAACTGCAAGCATGAATCATTGATGATCTTTGTCAAAATCTGCATTAAGAAAATAAGATACAAATACCAAAAACAAGAGAATCTTTTTGTAGTTTTTGATTTTTCGAAAATTAAACAACAAAATAAAAACAAAAACTTTTTGTTCTTTTTGATTTTTCGAAAATGAAAAGACGAAACAAAAAATAAAATATTTTTGATCTTTTTGATTTTTAGAGAATTGAAAGACAAAACAAAAATAAAATCTTTTTGTTCTTTTGATTTTTCGAAAATTGAAAGACAAAACAAAAATAAAATCTTTTTGTTCTTTTTGATTTTTCGAAAATTAAAAGACAAAACAAAAAATAAAATCTTTTTGTGCTTTTTGATTTTTCGAAAATTAAAAGATGAAACAAAAAATAAAATCTTTTTGTGCTTTTTGATTTTTCGAAATAAAAGTAACGGAAATTTTTTTTGTACAAAACTCATGAAAATTTGTGATTAAGCGATGTGTACATAATGTCGAAAGCGAAGTGTGTCGAAGCGCTGAACATGAATAGTAACCTCTGAATAACAAGTTATTTCCTCTGAGCAAACATTCAGCACCTTTGAATCGACACTTTTGCACCTTTTTCTCTTATCATTCTTTCGAAATCAATCCAGGAACTGAATTTCCTTCAAACATTCCTAGACCTCCCAAAATTCTCACGAATGATTTTTCATCCAATGGCTTTGTGAAAATATCAGCAAGTTGATCAGTGGTTTCACAAAGTGACTTCAATATTGCCATCCTCAACATGATCTTTTATAAAATGATAGCGAAGAGCAATATGCTTGGTTTTCGAATGTTGCACAAGATTGTGATAAATGCGTATAGCACTTTGTGAATCACAATACAACGGAATTTTCTTCATGTTGATTGCACAATCACGCAATTGGCTTTGAATCCATATAATTTGCGAAGTGCAAGCTGCAGCAGCAACATACTCTGCTTCTGCTATGGAAATCGAAACACATGTTTGCTTTTTCGATTGCCAGCTTACTAACTTCCCATCCAGCAATTGACATCCGTCACTTGTGCTTTTTCTATCGAGATTGCAACCTCCTAAATCAGCATCAGAAAATGCTTGTATGAAGAATATTGTTTTCGAAGGATACCACAATCCTAATGACATTGAACCTTTGAGATATCAAAAAATATTCTTCACCGCTGTTAAGTGTGGTTCTCTTGGATTCGATTGATATCTAGCACAATTACAAACAGAAAACATAATGTCAGGTCGACTTGTCGTAAGTTAAAGTAACGAACCTATCATGCTTCTGTATAAAGTAAGATCAACAGTTGGTTTGTCTAAAGAAGGTGTTAGCCTTGTTCCAACCGCCATTGGTACTCGTAATTTCGTGCTATTCGTCAAGCCAAAATTTTCAAGCAGATTCTTTGTATATTTTTCTTGATTAATAAAGATTCCTTCTCTGCTTTGACGAGTATTCAATCCTAGAAAATTTTTTATTTTTCCCATCATGCTCATCTCGAATTGACTTTTCATCAGATTTTCGAAATCTCTAGACAAAGCAGCGTCAGTTGAGCCAAAAATAATATCATCAACATATATTTGAACAAGCATAAGATGATCCCCAACTTTCTTTCAAAATAGTGTGGGATCAACTGATCCTTGTTTAAATTTTGATTGTTTTAAAAAAGAGGTAAGAGTTGCTTACCATGCTCTTGGTGCTTGTTTTAACCCATATAATGCTTTATCTAAAATATAACAATGATTAGGAAAATTTTCATTTATGAAACCTGGAGGTTGTTCAACGTATACAGTTTCTTCATGTTCTCCATTGAGAAAAGCACATTTGACATCCATCTGATAAACATCAAAATCCTTGTGTGCTGCATAGGCCAAAAATATTCGAACATCCTCGAGTCTTGCGACAGGGGCAAAGGTTTCCTCATAGTCAATACCTTCTTGTTGCGAACAGCCTTTAACTACAAGCCTAGCCTTATTTCGAACAATATTTCCATCTTTTTCCGTTTTATTATTGAAAATCCATTTTAACCCAACTATCGAAACATCTTTTGGTTCAGGAACTAATCTCCAAACCTTGTCTCTTTCGAATTCAGACAATTCAGATTGCATTGCAACAACCCAATCTGAGTGTTCCATTGCAGTCTTAACTAATTTTGGTTCAATTTTTGAAATGAAGACATTAAACATGCAAAACTCCTGATGAGCATTAAGAACCTCATTCTTTGCACGAAGTTGAGCTCTAGTTAACACACCATCTTGTGGATTTCCAAGCACTTATTCTTTTGGGTGATTTCTTGTCCATTTCTCCAATGGTGGATATGATGGATCAAAATCCAATGGTGCATCTTCGAACATTTCTTCATTCTCTGAACCTGCAACAAAATTATTATCATTAAAATCATGAAAATTTTCATATTGTTCATTATTCAACACATTTTGCTCCCCCTTGACAATTTCATTTTCTGTTTCCTCCCCCTCAACATCATCATCCATTCTCCTATTCTCCCCCTCGAAAGAATGTTCCCCCTCAATATGAGAATTCGAATGCAAGTGCTCCCCCTCCACTTGAGTATTTGGCATACTTTCGCTATTTACAGGAGAAGGTGATGTCAAGTTTTCATCAACTGCATATGGAGTAAATGTCGAACAATCAGAATGCTTTGATGATTCTGGAAGTTGATTATCTTGAGCATTGATTTCAGCATCCGCAGCTCTTTCTGGAACACCTAAAATTAAATCATAATCAAAATCAGATGAATTAAAACTTTCATATTCATCTTTTGATTCATTAATTATTGGTTTTTGTTCAAAATTCTTTTCAACTTGTTTGATATAATAATCATCGAATGTAAGATTGAATGTTTCTTTAATTTTCCTTGTTCGTCTATTCAACACTCGATAGGCAACCAAATTATGAGAATAACCCAAGAAAATTCCTTCGTCAGCTTTGGACTGGAATTTCGAAAGATTATCTTTTAGATTCATAATAAAACACCTGCAACCAAAAACATGAAAGAATTTGACATTAGGTTTTCAGTTATTGATAATTTCATAAGGAGTAATGTTGAATCTTCGATGAATGAACGATCTATTTTGTGTAAAACATGCAGTAGACACTTCTTCAGCCCAAAGATATTGAGGTAGATTCGCATATGTGAGCATCGTTCTAGCAGCTTCACAAAGAGAACGATTTCTCCTTTCAACAACCCCATTCTGCTGAGGTGTATAGGGTGAAGAAAACTT